ATATCATAAATGCGAAAGTGTGTCTGTCTGTCTGTTTGTCCGATTAGATTAGATAACCGATAAAGACATAGGTTACTTTTTACCGCGATAACCGACATTTACGCGGGCGGAGCCGAGAGCAAAAGCTAGTATTTTATAAAATAAGATAACATCTCATTAACTAATAAAACCAGCTTTTAAAGTGTGATATTTTTATACGCTCCATTACATCACGGCAGTTCCAACAATTTCCCAAACTTTTTATTATACTGGACATGTAACACTGTATAGACGTCTACGAGTACTATAGTATATAGGTGTAGGTATGTATAATTAGATCACAAGCTGCAGTGTAGAATAACTAACAAAAAAAAATAACTGGCTTCACTATGTAAATGTAAGTGACATGTTCGCATGTTTCAAAGTAGAATGACTTGGTAGTAACTCTTGTCAATATCATGTTTTCTTTGTAATACTAAATTTAAATAAAAAGATTTTTTCTATCGAGTCGTGTCCAGGCCTTCTATCAAAGGGCCACCGGCAAGTCGTGTTAAATAAACCGTTCCTTCCGTGCCGAGGGTTCCGTACCTACCCATTATACCGCCACAATAAAATTGGTATCATTTTTATTGGTAACTAAGTTTTAAGTGTGTGTCTGTCCCAACAGTCCACATCTACACCTACTTTTTTTATTTTTGGAATGCCATATTTCGTGATTCTAAGTCAACGGGAACTACCAAAAAGATTTTCGACCCAAAACCTATAGGGTACTTCCGTTTGACTTAGAATTATCAATTTTGGTTAAAAGTAAGGTCTTACAGCACAAGCAAAGAGGAAATTCCGAAAAAAAAATTAAGGTAAATTTGGTACCTACAAGTATTCGCGAAAAGCTAAATCTGTTCATATCTTTTTATCGTGTTGACTCACAAAAAAAAGGTCCATGCGTTCCTGAGAAAAACGGACAAGAGAATGATCTTATGAGGGTTCTTTTGAGATACAGAACCCTAAAAATGTAGCAAGCGTATCTGTAGATTCCATTCTTAGGTATTTACTATTTCTTCTATACATATACAATTCATCAAAGCAAAGCCTAAGTCGCAGAAGCTACAAACTTACAATTTTGGCAGCTGATGCTATTTATGTTTTAAGCAACCAATAAGAAAATATTTTTGTCAATTTTAAGGAGGTTAAATAAGGGATACACGGTTGTATGGAAGTTCGTCATTTTCAAAGTTAAAAACACGAAATACGAATAATATTCGAAATGCGGCTTAATAGCTAGTCTATAATAGTTGCTGTGAGAATATGAGGGCACCGTGGACAAAATACAATAAAAAAAAACATTCATGTTTAATAGTATCTCTTGATTTTTAAAGTCTGTAAAGACTTATTTGTTTTTTTTTAATAATACATATAATGAATGATATGTATAACATCCGGGAACTACTGGATTAAAATCCGCCGCGAGGCGATCATGCCTGGCGGGCCGCGGCTTAACGGTTGATGTTGGAAAGTTGTATATATGCTAATCGCCGAGAGAATTGTTAATATCGCGATACAGGATTAGCAGTCACTCCATAGTTTGGTGCGTCTTCGTTAGATGGCGCTGTAGTATGTTTCTTTGTTTCACCATACGTGGAAGTCGCCACAGATACTTAGTTAGTACTACTTTATTATCTTTAGTACTTTATTATCTCTAGTAGTTAGTTTATTTCTACTACTACTTCAGCTCTTCAGGTACCTCATATGTAATCATATTCAAATGGCACTTAGTCAATCTTGGAGAATCTGTCAAAACATACAAACATCAAGTTATAAGTATCCTATAGATAATAATGAATTGGGAACATGTCACTTTTTAAAACTTGAAATTGCGATTTAATGTTAAAATTTACTTACACGGGGTCGGAAATATAATAACATAGGAAATTTAGACATTGTATGTCAATTTAGTCATTAAATATTCTGAACAGATTTGATTTTTACTGCCTAGTTTATAGTTACATTATAAGTGTACCTTTTTTTTTTTTTTTTTTTTCCGTGCGGAAATCCCCTCGGATACCACCGGTGGCATGTCGGACTCGAACCGACTAAAACCGCACGCCGTCGCCGGGTACTAATAGCCGGGGAACCAGGTATACCCTAGAAAGGAAGTCCCTGGTGCCCCGACATACCTCGGGTCATCTACAGTCGAGTAGACGACCCCCCCCCCCCCCGTGTGGGAACCCCATGATCCCTGTGCTCCCTGGAAGCGAGCGCGCTTCGCAACGCGCTCGCCGCCACCCCGGCCTGCTTCTGCTAGGGTGACAGATGGCCTCACCTGTCACCCCCAGGCCTGCGCTTATGGAGGACGGAGGTCGTTCTGCGACCTCCGGCGCCTGAGTCGCCTGCGTTGCCTGGCCCGTGCCCGGGCCTGGCGGGCCGGGAGAGTTCTAAACCTCTCCCGGTCCCGCTCCGCCGTCTCCTTCGCGAGCATAACTTGCTCGCAGAAGGAGACGGCAGAGTTCCACGCACTCTCGCTCCGCACGATAGCCGCAATCAGGCTATCGAGCGAGAGAACTCCCACTCCGATGGCCGCCACGAGGTCTCGCCTCTGCTCAACCCACGCCGGGCACTCTGCCAGCGTGTGGAGAGCCGTGTCCACGGTCTGGCCATCGCAGTGGTGGCACTCAGGCGTTGGCTCCTTGCGGATCAGACACAGGTGATCTCCGAAACATCCCTTCCCAGTGATCACCTGCGTCAATCGGTATAAGAGGGTCCCGTGACGCCTCTCGAGCCAATCCTCCATAACGGGTCTTACCGCCGCAATGACGGCGTGCCCGATTATAAGTGTACCTCAAGTAAAGTAATGACAACAACTGAAAGTTAGAAGGAGTCCAACAAAAACAAATTTGCTTCAGAACAAACCTGGATAGAACTCAAACGCTACCTTGCAAAGACCGTTAGAACAAAAGTTTTCACAAAAGCGCTTTTAGCTAAGGTTTTAATGACGCATCATTTGCGTGAGTCAAGTGTCTCGTTGCTACTTAACTACACTCTTCTCTCAAGTTGAGAGAAGAGCGACAAGTCATGCCGGGACAAAAACTGCTAATGACGCATATGGGCCATGAAAATCTTGGAGACCTAAGCAGTGCTGCTGAAAATAGTCGAACTCGACATATTTTTCTTCTAAATTTGTATTTTTATATAAACTAGTAAAGTAAAAACAAACTAAAAATAGGCACGACACATAGCATAGCACATATTTTGACTAGCCTGTTGGTCTAGTGGTGGTAGTTCTGACTACTACAGGGGTCGTGGGTTCAATTGTTTTGCAATTGTCAATGAGCACGTTCATTTGTTTTGTGTCTCGACTAATTTAGCTGTAATATTTATAAATACATAGCTAGAATAAAACTGACACGAAAAATGGATTAAGACCATCTTTGAAGCCGGTTGTACTCGTATTTAGTGTCAAAATTTTAGCTCAATTGGTGCAGAACTTTTTGAGTTTTTGAAGTGTGCAACATAACATTTTTATAGGTATGAAGTTTATAGGTATGTTTATCAGCGGTTTGGTTACCATAATATATTGCCTTGCCGATTTTCGTTGATGTTATCATTATTATTAATATTATTACAGAAAAGAGCTTTCACTTGCGCGATCATTGTTCAGTCTACGTACGTCATCTATTGATTAATACTAACATTACAAGATTCTATAGAGGTTTGGGATAAATTTTTCATTGGTATAAAACATGACGACATACGAGATACGACATACGAGAATATATAAGCTGCTATCGAGATTTAGTTTTATGTTTGGTTGGACTAACGTTGGTCACCTCGCCGCTTTCTAGTGTGCCGAGTGTTGTGGATAAGATCTCCACATGGGACAATACTTCGTGTGATCCACAAATTGTTGTTCTGAGTCTGGGTGTTCTTTGTGTCCACTTCATGTATCTGATATACATACATTTTCATACTCGTAAAACTTATTCACGAAATAAAACGATTCGAAGCGTATATATTAAATGTATTGTATCGTATCGTGATATTAAAACACCTTGCTTTTTCGACAGAATTTATTTTTCTAGAAGATGTTACTCCACATAGTATTGCATAGACAGCATCACTTACACATTTAACCTTTTGGAACGAAGTTCCTTATCGCGCGTTGTGAAAGGGGGCTAGACGGAAAAAGTTCGTACGAAAATTTGGAACGACACTTTTAATATAAATTGACGTCTAACTGTGGATACCATACATTAAATTTGCTTTAACGTTCGCCAACGTCCATACCATGTTGAATACACCGGTTCTCGTCCGATCACCGAAGTTAAGCAACATCGGGCGTGGTTAGTACTTGGATGGGTGACCGCCTGGGAATACCACGTGATGTTGGCTTTTTGCTCTTTATTTTCGTGTCATCTTGTCAGACATTCAGCGCCATCTATCGAATAGATAGGAAATCATTTCGCAAGGAGATTTTACCAATGTATAAATTGTTTTAATTGTTTTTAATATGTAGGTAATAGCCGCTTTCATAGATGGCGTTGTAATTAAAATCGTGTCAAATCAGTTTTACTCGATCGTCACAACTTCGTTCCTATCGGGTCTCCCACGACACCACACGGCTTTTTTTTGTTTTCCATATTCTAACAGTATATTCAATCAATAACCAATCAATTCCACATTCCACATGTTTGCATGATGCCAAGTTAAGGAAATTGATTTATGTTGAATTAAACAAAAATTCGAGCTACCATCAACCAATTTATTTTTATTGCCCAAATCAAATGACAATAGGTGTGAGACAGTCTTAAACCTACAACCAAAAGCCTCCTTCAATGTGCTCTCAGCTAGTCACAAAACACACCGAGAAATAATTAATATATATTATCAGCATAAACTCCCGTTTCAAATCTGCAACACAACTCTTTACAAACTGGCAATTTGTTTGACCAAAATAAACTTTTTATGGCGCCATTTTTGTTTTTGTGTTGAGCTTTACAATTTTTATTTAAAATATATTTTTGCAGCCTAGCCGGGATGTCACGCAGCGTGACTGTAGCTGTAGCCTACATCATGTCGGTCACTCCGCTCAATTGGCGAGAGGCTCTGAAAGTAGTTCGAGCTGGCCGCGCTGTTGCCAACCCGAATCTCGGCTTCCAAAGGCAACTTCAAGACTTCGAAACTTATAAACTTGTTGAGGTAAGGAATTAAATTTGTGCTGTTGAAAGAAAGAAAAGAAAGAAATTAAAGAAAGAAAGTAATGATCATACATCTATTGTCCTCCTAACCTCTTTATTCGGAATACATATACAGACTGATTTTTAGTGACAATGTATTTTGCTTTATTGGTGCATTTAGGAAAATTAGCATTGCTAGCACACATAAAACTTTTTCACTGAACATCCATTTATTTTCTAAAAACGACGAGGCTTAACTTGACTTGACTTGACTTTAGTTCCATCTTGTTCTGTCTTGGAACTCGAAAATTTCACTCATATACATATTTCCGATCCCGGTATTTGTCAACCAAAAGTGTATGAATGTGAAGTAAAATTCAGTGATTGGTCACACGAATTCGTTTCAAAGGTGCGAATATTTATTTATTGTTTGGAACAAGCTTCTTGCAAATAAATCCAAAATAAGGCTCGTACAGAGCTTGGTTTTTCTCATTATCGATTTGTGGTGTGTGCTCGTTCTGAATGCAGGTCTGCTCAGCACAGTTGACCGACTTCTCAGTAATTACATTTAGCTTATTAAAAAGTTCGTTTACTGTTGATATTATAAGCCAATCCGGGCCCTAACATATTCTTTCGTAGTGATAAACAACAATAAATTAGTTCTTTTTTGTTAAAAAATGACTAACCTCGGGTAAACAATCATTTTAAGCAATTTTAAACAATGTTGCGTAGCCTGACCCTAGTCAAGATTTTTTTAAATCAATTTTATATTAAAAAAAACACTTAAACAAATGATGGTCTTCGTTATTTTTAATAAAAAGTCGTATAAATCTTGAACGAGAGGAGAGGCTTATGTCCAGCAGTGGACTGTTAAAGGCTGTTGATGATGATGATGATGTATAAATCTTGAAAGACGTTTGTCATTAAAAGGCGTGCACTTGGTAAACAAATATATCAACGAAGTCACCTACATTGTATGCACGTTAGTTTATAATATTTAAGGCAAACATGTGCTACTGGTTATTAATATGTGAAGCCTGTTTTTGATCCTGTATCGCAAGTTATACCATAAATTACGTAGATTTATGACTCAGTTCACACGCTACGGCGGCGCGTTTTGATTAATTACCGATGTGTGTAATTAACTCACATATTGATTTGGTTACACTAATCCTAACTAAAATATTTACATAGATATTTACATTTATTTCATGGTATAATAATAATAATGCCTTTTAATGATTTAGAATGGATCTCTTCTTGAAATAGGCATCATTTTCGAGATCTTCATGATTATTACGAAATATAATATAATATTATCTTACAAAACAACTGGGCACCACAATGTTGCCAGGTTAAAAAGTTCGACTTGAGAAAAAAAAGTAGTACTCACACCTTTGTTTTAGGAACGAAGACGACTGAAGGAGCGATACCCGTCCTTGGCATTAGCAGACAGAGATTTGTCAGAGTGCCGTGTTATGCTAGACTCTTATCAGACCATGCTGAATCAACGAACTATCTGCGAAGGAAAATGCTCCATGGGACGACAGTGCCCCACTGGTAATTTTTGAAATTCACTTTATGATGTTTAGTTTTCCACACACTATTTATAGCTATACAACAGTTTAGCTCTCACTATCCTAATAATGTATAGTTCGGATTGAAAAGCTTTGAAGTTTGCCGAGATGTGTGTCTTTTGAAGTTTTTGTAGAAGTAGTGACAATAAATAATTGAAGTATGTTTAAAAACTATAGTCACGGCCTATGAGTTTGATCAAAATATGAGACAGGAGAATCATATACCTTTATTTTTAATGCTTATATATCACATGCATCAATTAATTTTATATGGCTATATAGATGTCACAGTCAGAACAGCCTTAACCGGTTAAAAGTACTTTTTACCCCAACATTATACTTTTATAACCTCCTCTAATTCAAATTATTCATAAACGTTAAGAGGAGACCTGGCGCTGGGCGACCGCTATCGCCCGCCCGCTTTGCGCTTTACGATTAATGGTTACTGTTCTATATTTTTTTTTACATGTGGAAACCTCCTCGGGCAGTCACCCCACCGGGTTTTTCGGCAGGGTTTTTCAGGTGGTGTGTCGGAATCGGATCGACTGAAACCATACGATGTGCCACTCTGCGCCTGTAATAGGAGAGATCCGGGGACTGCTGTTATTAAAACATCCGGACCCCTTTCTTTATTTAGGCGACTCCTCGCGGCTGGCCGTTATGACGGGTGGAGAGCAAAACCCGTCCCGACGTCTTCGCAGAAGGATGCGACCGCACTGAGACATCTGTCTCTACCGGCCATGGAGCCTATGACGGCCGGCAGCGAGAGATTCCCCCCGATGACTGCAATCGCAGTGGTGACAGGCGGGACTCAATTCCCTCCTAGCGACCGAGTGCAGGTACTTCCCGAAGCAGCCGTGCCCGGAAAGGACCTGCGTCAGGCGGAAGGAAAGGGTCCCGTGCTGCCACCCTGCTCACTCGACGATGACAGGCCGGAGCGCCTCCACCGCGGCAAAGCCAGCACGTGGAGCCTCCAGCCGGGACGACCAACGAGCCATCGTGGCTCGGCGTGCGGCCTCACGCCACTCGCGTATCTCTTCGGGCGGGGGTCGTATGACGCTATCCGCCCGGAACTCAGCCGTCCGCCGATATACTTCGGCACGCACTTCCGCCTCCAAATCCCACAGGGGTGTTCCGGCCAATGCGCACGCCGCCTCCGTCGAAACGGTGCGGTAACCGCGTATGGCTCTAACCGCCAATATCCTTTGAGGGCGCCAAAGACGTGCCCTATTTTGAGCGGTCAGAGCTACCGCCCACACCGGTGCACCGTACAGTGCCATTGACCGGACAACCCCCGTGTACAGCCGTCTTGTTGCGACGCTGGGTCCACCTAGATTTGGCAAAAGTCGCCCAAGAGCAGAGGCAGCGCCGACCAGGGCCTCAATTCTGCTATTTTATGTTCACGACAAGCCAGTGTCATACCACTGACACGCTATTGACATGCCATCGAGTGGCCATTGGCATCGGTATAAATATCGGGAGTCTACACTCACTCAGTGTCTTTACAGTGGCGATGGAATGGCAGTGGCTCATCAGTGGTGATATCAAAAAGATGGCCATATTTGGAAAAATAAATAAATCATATCCTTATAATTTAAAATATATTACGTTTTTTTGAGGAAATGATTTATTTATTTTATACCGATGCCAATGGCCACTCGATGGTATCTCAATAGCGTGTCAGTGGTATGACAGTGGCTTGGCGTGAACATAAAATAGCAGAATTGAGGCCCAGCTTTGCAGCAAGCTGTCGGAAGTGCTCGTCGAAGAGCCACCTCCCGTCTAGGATCAGGCCCAGATATTTCATCTGGGTCTGAACACCGGTTCAAAAAAACGAGGACCGAGTTGACCACGATTGTGGTACCGGGGGTCGACCACGAATAAGGGCCCATTCAATAAGAGGGCCTCTGTCTTATCCAGGTTCACTTGTAAGCCCAGCGCCTCAATGCACCCGACCACATGAAAGACTCCCCTGGTAGCCAGGCGCGCCGCCTCTTGAAAGTTCGCCCCTCGGCCGGTATCTCGTTTGACCCAGGGGCGGTCTTCTAGGTACCCTAACCCAAATGATTCAATAACAATGGATGACATCTGACACAGCCGTCAAAAGATAATTTATTGCCCAATGCGGGTTAAAAATACTTTTGACCGGCTAAGAGTTCTGACTGTAACATACATTTGAATTAAATTACCGATAAAAGTAGTTGTATAAAAAACATTACTTTAACATATACCAGTATATATCTATTAGTTCAAAAGTGTCGTTGTATGTCTGTAATACCTGGAACATGTTCGCTTTAGTTCCCGTATTTCATTAATGTAAAATTACATTGCACACACAATCAAAACCATTAAATTATAAGTTTATCGTTTTCATGTGCCTACAGATTTCATAATCTGCTATAGACTAGTATAGAAATTGTTAGAATAGCTTATTTTTTTAATTGCTATTTTTTTCTGATTCTTTTGTTATATTTTTCTAAGTGTGTCTCTATATTTCATTTGTTTTATTTGTTCTAATCTAATCTATCCGTGTGGTGACGGATTAAGAATACAGAGTGTCATCGCCCCTATCCATCCCGTGGGTGTCGTAAGAGGCGACTAAGGGAGCAAACTACGCAGGACAACAGCACTGCAAAGAGAAGGAAAACTTGACACAAACCCTATACCAACCCGTCTGGCCAGCGTGATATAGTAGGCCAAAACCTCCTTTCTAAGGAGAGGCCTATGTCCAGCAGTGGACTATTAAAGGATGTTAATGATAAACTGATAAAATATAGTTCTCCACATATCACTGGTACAATATCGCACACTGAGAATCAAACCGTCACTATACATAATTTGACAAAATTTCGTTATCACTCTCTTCTAGTGACACTTTGTCCAAATTATACAATGCAAAAACTCTCAAAGTGATAGCATTATTAGAACTGGTGGTTGTCACTAGTGTCTTTATGTAGTTTGGTGGGGTTGGTACAGTCTTTGACAGCAACATTGACATATTTTCATAAGTGCCATGAACGGCGTGATTAGTATGTGAAATCTACGCAAAATAGTGTCATGTTTTTGTTTAAGAACGGTATTCGTCGAAATTATAAGGCAAGTGAAATCTTTTGTAAAACGAACGAAACGGCGTGGGTTCGATTCTTACCCAGGACAAATATTGTGATGATAATGATCATTTGGTTTGAGTGTAATTACTCATCAATCTAATTTACCTGTTTATAATTTACCATCTTTTAAAAGGTGTTGCACTAAAATGATTTGAAAGCATAATGCACAGAGATATCACTACTATAATAGATAAAGCTACAGTCAGAAGTGTAAAAGTACAAATCAGAATGACTCTGAAAATAAACAAACATTAAAAGGAAATTGTGATAGTAAATAATCTCAAGCAAACCTCATCATCCTCTAAATTTAAACAATAATGGGTATTCCTTGTAATTGTAGTTGCAGATTAAAATATTCGCTTAATATGTCGGTGACGTTTCGATTCTAAGTGTGCGATATGGTACACATGTTATCTGAGAAAAATTATGCTGGTAACAGTCTGTTACAATTTGATTCTGTGAATATCGCCGTACTATTTTTTTTTTGCTCGTAACAACGTTCTTACACTCGTACAACGAGAAAGACTGGTACCATTCAAAAGTAAGATAAGAGAGAGAGAGAAAAGATAAGGACTTCCATCATATTTCTTTTGTAACTCACAAACGTTTTGTACACGCCACAGGCACGCGTGGGCCCGTTCCACCGGAGTGACGCCACGGTCTCATAGACAACCGCTTTTAAGCAATTGTTTCATTACTTTTCACCGAGTGAATGGGGTCATCAGACGCTGAAACTCTCACTTCCCATAATTCTATGGGGGGTCTTATTGGGCGGTAACGGACTTGTGTACATGGGCGTCTACTCGTCCCGTATAGGTACCATTAAAAATAAAACAAGGAAACCTCATTGAATTTTCTTAACACTAACACACTAACTTAGGGAACGTACCCATACTACGTGACTCATATTTTGACGCCCCTCTCCCTCCTCCCATCGGTTTTCACGTAGTAATTTATAACTATGGCTTTCATTATATATTTTTTACAAACGGTTAAAAAGAATTTAGTTTACACATACTTAGAAAAAAAACCTTAAGCCCTCGCCTCTGTGACGAAGCGTGGTATCGGGAAGACCCTTTCCCCTCTGAATAGGACACGTAGTATGAGTACGTTCTCTTACTTACTTTTGATATTCGACGGCCAAGCAATAACAATGAATATTACAGTGAAACTGCTGATTAAATTGTTCTTCTTCAGGTTCCCATTAGAACGTGCGGCAGGCCATCAAATCCAGAATCAACCCCACGCCACCCATTATTATTTCATGCACGCTATATTTGAAACCCACCGCCTACTATAACATCAACCAAAAGACCAAACATAACACCAGAAATAGAGAACGGTTGACAATTGGTTCAAAGTTACGGCCTCGGGGGGGCACTACTAAAGTTGTTTGAAAACGGCTGTTCTTCCAATGACCTTTAGTAGTGTTCGAAAGAAATGTACTACATTCTAGTCACGTACATTCAGTACACCTGATTCGATTCGGGTCTAGAGTTCAACGACCTGTTAATCTAATATCTAGACGGTCATGTCAAACACCTCCCACTTTTATTTTTCTGTATAATTTTTAATCATTATTTTAAGAAAGAATCCATTTTTGTAGATTTAAGCCTCAAAAACATCTTAAAACAATGTTTTTAGGAAATATTTAATTAATTGTAACATGGTCGTATGAAAGTACGGCATTTGCGAGTTGTTTTTTTAATTACTTCTAGTTAAATAACCACTTACATCAATAAGGACAATTTAATAGACTTTATGTGACAATTTAATGACTTTATTACAAATAAACGATTTGAGGTCAATTTGTGCAGCGGTCAGTTAATGATCTTAATGCGCTTTAGTGAATGAAATAATATTGCTGTTTCTTTTAAATAATAAAAGATATAAATTAACTTTAATATAAGAAAGGTATTTAAAACTGATATTTTTTAACAACTCTACTCTTAAACGTTAATTTTACTGCCTGAAATTTTAACGGTTAATACTTATAATTCGATTACAATTACAAACGATTTGATTACAAACTACAGTGACGTCAGCTATTGTAAATAAAAATTATAAACTTGATAACAGAAACCGTGCACTTAGAAATGCACCTATTTCTTCATTGAATATATTTTGTTTTCAATCTAATTAAATCTCTTATCTTAAGTGATTTTAATTTATTTACTCGTATACCTAATTTAACCTCAACTTAAATAATGTTATTGTAATATTAAATACGTAAAATAAATTATTTATAAACACTCAAGTGCTACTTTAAAAATTTACATTTAGGGTAAAGTTTACAACGCAGGTTGGAATATGAGAGTTAAATTACCAATAAAATAATCAATGCTTCGCTTCACTAAATATAATCTACCATTAAGATAGAAACGTGATTACCATAGAAGGATAACTCATCAAGTGCTGTCACTACTAGCGCATCACTAAAATCACTTTCATCGTGATCATAATATGATGCCCTATTTTATATCTGATGCCATACTCAACTTGCGATGTTGTCGATCACCAGCACTTTTGCTAGAGGTGTTCTTGTGTTGCACATTTCACACTCACTATAGCGGTATCATTGCGTCTCTCACATCAGGGGTATGCAGAACAGGATCGAAGAGACAACCGCGGCTGAGGAAGCCGTCAGTTGCCGCAGGCTCTGGGGAAAATCCCATGAAACGATCACCTTCCACTCTTTCTACTACGTCTAGTACTTCGGGTTATCGGCCAAGGTCTTCGCCTGCGGGTCTATATAGTTATACTGGAGGTATGTAGAAGATAGTTCTTGAAATCAAATTATTATAATAAGGAAAAAATCTAAATTATGCCTTCTTGATAGGTCTGGAGCTCCAAATCTTTCAGAGCGACATCAATAACGAACGGTCTCTTAAGCAATATCTACAAAGGAATACCTGCGAGAATTAACTATCTACGTCTGTTAGTTAATCCTAGTATTTTTTTTTATTTACATTTAACTAAACATCAATGGTATATGCCACGGTCTATTTTATCTTTTTTCCTTTAGCACGATCGCGTCCATCACGCTCGGCGTCAGGATTGAGCGTGACTCGCGTGACAGATCCCGTAGGGGGCGGCACGGCAATGGCAGTAGGAGGCACGGAGTACTCCCGACGGCGCGCCGCTTCGGCGCCTGCTACTCCTGCACTCTCACCCGCCTCCTCACCGCCCGGATCTCCGAACAGACCACCTCATAGGTAATGTCTCATGCTAGCTTTTGCCAGCGACATCGCTGACATAAATGTACCTCTTTGCCAAACCGCCGAGTGCCTAAATGTTTTTTTTCTATCCATTTCATAACGATGTCGATTCGAGTAGTGAAGATGTAAAAGCGTAGTAAACAATTAATCACATTCATATTCGCTATAGTTAAGATAAATTCATATTTAGACAAAAAAGGCTTATTGGCATTTCTGCTTAAAGTAATAAACGAACTTCATTACCTTAAGCAGAAAATCTGAGCCTGTGCATCAAACCCTTTGTGGTTTTGTTATACATCAGCTAATGACCACTATTAATTCCAATGGTTATTTTCCGTTATTAATTCTTTTTTGTTATTCAGTACAATACTTTTCAGTTTTTCCAATTGTATTCCACAGTGGTACCTTTTTTTTTCCGTGCGGAAATCCCCTCGGATACCACCTCTATCGGTGGCATGTCGGACTCGACTAAAACCGCACGCCGTCTCGGGTACTAATAGCCGGGGAACCAGGTATACCCTAGAAAGGAAGTCCCTGGTGCACCACAGTGGTACCTGAACCTAACACAAACCATTGTTTGATGTTCACTTTAAATTTTAATTTCATTTTCATTGCATTAATAGGCCTGGCTGTGCTTGGGTGATACCTACTGTGAAGTGGGACCCCGACTCGTTGTGACGTCAGCCATCATGTCTGAAGAGGTTTTAATCACTCCTCGCACCCTCCTTGCAAGGTTACAAGTTCATTGTTTTGTTTTTGTTTGCACAATTATTTAGCGATCGTCGCTATTTTTCGCTTCAGTTATACCTACATTTTTTACAGAAGCAGAGCTTGTACTATGGGTACTAGACAACTGATATAAATACATATATACTTTTTTTTTGTAAATACATACATATTATACATAGAAACACCCAGACCAAATCAAACATTAAATGTTCATCCACACAAATGTTTGACTTGAGCGGGAATCGAACCCGCCAACTACATTATTTTATAAGTACTTTCTGCCCTACTAAAGTTATTTTAAGTGCAGGTATATTTATAATTTTGAGTCCTGTATAACCCATTGTTGATGGCTAGAGCCTTTACGCTAATTTATATGGTATATTTGTGTTTTACAGGAATTTGATTAACTCGTTACAAAATCGATAATTTCTATGTGATTTGGAATGCTGATACGGAGAGATCCCGAAGCTCTGCTGACTAAATTGCGAAAGTTGTCAAGGAAGAGCTGGTCGGAAACCGGGGGGGAGGGGTACATATAATAGGTTTAATGAAAGAAAATCAATTCGCAGACTGTGGCCTTTGCCTAAAGGAGAAAGGCTTAAGTGATTGTATTCTAAATACATCACCCATACTTTTTACTCGTTAGTAAACACACGCTATATTTATTTAAATATTTTCTTTACGCGCTTTTCTCATTAAAAATTCTTTAATAAAATGGTCATAAAACAGGAGTCGTGCTATCTTTACGGACGGATGTGACCGCGGTGAAACATCTGTCACTACCGGCCATAGAGCGTATGATGGCCAGTAGCGAGAGATCCCTCCCGATAACTGCGATGAGGATGGCCCGGGCCAAGCCGGGCAAATTGGCAGCGTGTGCTGAGCCGAGTCATCACTACAATCGCAGTGGTGACAGGCGGGACTCAATTCCCTCCTAGCGACCGAGGTACTTCCCGAAGAAGCTGTGCCCGAAAAGGACCTGCGTCAGCCGGAAGGAAAGGGTCTCGTGCTGCCGCCCTGCCCACTCGATGATAACCGGTTGTAGCACCTCCACGGTGGCAATGCCAGCACGTGGAGCCTCCAGCCGGGACGACCAACGAGTCACCGTGGCTCGGCGAGCGGCCTTACGATATCCGCCCGGAACTCAGCCGTCCACCGTTATACTTCAGCCAGCACTTCCGCCTCCAAATGCCACGGGGGTTCGATATGGTGCGCTAACCGCGTATGGCTCTAACCGCCAATATCCTCTGAGGGCGCCAGAGGCGTGCCCCTTCTGGGCGATTAGAGCCGCCGCCCACACTGATGCACCGTACAGTGCCATTGACTTGACAACCCCCGTGTATAGCCGTATTATCGCGACGCTTGCTCCACCTCAATTGAGCAAAAGTCACCCTAGGGCAGAAGCAGCGCTGACCGCTTCTGTTGGAAGTGCTCGTCGAAGAGCCACCTGAAAAGTATCTGGATGAACCGGTACGAGAACCGAATCGACCACGATGCATACGCGAGGGTCTGACCACGACGGAGCCCATGGAACAAGAGAGCCTCCGTCTTATCCGGGGCCCCCCGTAAGCCCAGCGCCCGACCACCAGAGAGACTCCCCTGGTGGCTAGGCGCTGTAACCAGCGTGTCATCGGCCTAACAAATAACGCCCAGACCGGGGGGCGGCGACCTCAAAGGGCCCAGTCGTAACCCACGTTTCACAGGAGTGGTCCAAGAACAGACCCCTGCGGAACACCGCACGACATGGGCCGACGCCTAAAAGCACCATCTTGGTCCTCGTACATGATGGTACGCTGCTCTAAGTAGTCGGCCAACAGCCGCCTTAGGTACTCTGGCACCCCATGATAGTGGATTGCTTCCCTGATGCAGCCGAATGGCAGACTATCGAATGCGTTGGCGATGTCCAAATACACCGTCAACAGCACGCCGCCACAGCTTACCTCCTCTTCGGTCACGGTCCTGAGGCGCAACACAGCGTTGACCGTCGAACGCCCCGCTCGAAAACCGAATTGGACCGCTAAGCTAGACATCACTCATATTAGGCTACTAACTACCCTACATGATCATTCTACACTCAGGATCAGTCGGCATCCCTAATATCACCCTAGTTATGGTACTGAGAACGCTATACCCATTAGATACAGTCATTTGAATAAATCCATCTCACTATGATCAGTTTTGGTCATAAAATAAAGATGACAAAATGAATAGGTCTTGTTGGTAACGTCACCGGGAGACGTCATTTAAAGATAACGAAAAATAAGGACTCTGTTCGGTATAATGATGGATATTTACTTGATCTTTTATATATTTAGATTAATATGTACTTAAATATTCAGAACTGTGTTCACATTAAAGAAGGAATCCTCTTTAACCTCCTCCGCTATAACCGAGACGATCTCGTAGCGATCACTGTTGAATCACAAATTTGATTACGTACTCTTGTCATAACTAAAAAGAATGTCTACATTTTATGTTTAAAAGATAAACGTCCCATGCGTGAAGAACTACAGAGAAGAATCACAAACGTGTGGAAGAGATACTGGAGCTTGAGAGAGTTTATGAAAAACAAAAAACTTCATATTAACATTAAAAGTAAATTGTTTAACACCTGCATACTACCTGTCCTTATGTATAGCTGTCAATCATGGACTTTAACTCAGGAACTGACAAGCAGACTCGCAACATACCAGTACGCTTTGGACAGGAGCATGTTAAATGTCAAGAGATCAGATTGACTGAAAAACCGTGTCATCAGAAATAAAACAAAAACCTTATATGTGACACTAAAAATTAAAAGACTTAAATGGAAATGGGCAGGGCACATGATTAGAGGTTATGATAAATAGAGTAAGAAAGTGACAAGATGGTACCCCGGGGAAGGTAAAACAAAAGGAGGTAGACCGCTGAAAATATGAGATGATGATATCAGAGAAGTGGCAGGAGTGATGTGGAACAGAGTGGCTCAAGAAAGATCAGAATGGGAAAGGTTGGAAGAGGCCTTTGCTGATTGGCAAACAGATCTACAAAAAATAAATAAGTTACAAATACCAGAATAAGTTTTTTAAGTCTTATGTTTTGTTTTAGAGTATCGTTATTGTTATTCAGACCAACTTAGGTCTGAAACAGGGGTATTATTATATTGTCAACGCACTTTTGAATGTTTCGTTTTATAATCATGTTTACAATTTATACAACCCTACCTAGGCCGTCCAATTACCAAATAATACCTAGGCCGTCTAAATGGACGGCCTAGGTATAAGCATACCATGTAGATTGAGCAGCAAAAGTACCTATTGGATTCATATTTAATTTTAAAGAACGAAGTACGCCGGGGCGTCATAAAATTTTACGTAGAGCTGAATGGCCGAGTTTTGAACCAATAAAGGTTAACGCCATTTCAACATAACAACATAAAGATGGTACCGAATTTGCGATGTTAATTAGAATTGAAATCGTGCTATATTTGGTTATTTTATTTTTTTCAAATAAATGACTGGAACATGATGTAGGTGTGACTGACATATTCGTATCAGTAATTTTTCAATTATTTATTAGATTTTCATGTAGATTTTCTGCGTGGTGCACTATAACTGCGTAAATATACCAATTTTCAATTGTAACTGGTTAAACTATGAAGTTCGAATATTCAACAAAAACTACTTCTATGATAAAATTGTGAGGATATATGAAGGTAGGTTGTCAGGATTGTATTTGAGATCATGTAAAGCGCTTAAATATAGCCGTTTAAGTAGTTCAAGTTGCCTCAAGATAGTGTCAATTGACACTAAAATAAATAATCGACACATTCGCCTAGGCTCTCAAAGTTACTCTTCTACTGTTTTTCTTTGATCAGTTTGAGTACATAAATTACTATTGGTGTTTTAAGATAAGGTTGTACTCATTTGTAGTATGATTTCTAAACTATGCCACTTAAACTCTAATATTAAAAAAATCGACTTTTTCTTTTAAAACAATTTTTACTAGTATTAAGTCCGTGAAAGCCCAATATTGTCAATAGCCACTGTGTATATTTTTTCCGCTATTCAATTATGAAATATTTCAGATCGCGCGCAGTTCAGCGGTGCTCGTAGCAGGCATCCGTGCGACGTTCAACATCCGCCCAATGTCACCAGCACAACGGCATCCGTATACAACCACGTCCTTAGTGATAATTGACATAGCAATTTTCGCGTTGCCTTGGCTTCAAAGAGATAGCTTAAGAAGAAGACAGGGCCGGCTCCAGGATTTTAGGAAGATGCAAGCTTGTAAAGTATTTCTTTGTGAGATTAGGAGGACTCAAAGCCGTCTCGTCTCTTTGTCAAGATTGTTCAAGGATTGGTAAAGATGATTTTAGCAATATTAACAGTTGAATAAAGCTAGATAAAATTCTTTTTTTTTACGATAGGCAATGAGAATTATTCATCTGTAAATGATATTTAATGTAAAGGAGAGGTAAAGTGTTCTATAAATTGACATTTAGAAGTTCTTTACTGATATTTAAAAAGTCTGATAAATATAACAGACGGGTAAAGATACTAAGTATCGGTTCGGTTAGTTATTAGTAGTCGGTTTGATCAGTAATCGGTTAGTCGAAGTGGCAGACGGTTATGGAAATGAAGCTTTATAAGAGTTTTTGATAAAGTATGATAATGTTGAAAGTTACATGTTTGAGAAAGTTAAAAGTTATAATATAGCAGCAGCTACATCAATTATAAAATTGTTACTGGCTTTTACGGTGTAAAGACGGTGTAAAGATTACTGAAATCGTGTATTCAGACCATCATTCTGACTCGAAAAACATTGTAATTTTCCGGCGGAAAATTCATCTTTTTTTGATAAAAAGAACATTTCACCGAAAAAAAATAAGAAATACCGCATACAGTCAAAAACAGCTATGTAATTAATCAAACAGCCAAAGCGCGCGGGGCCCTCCCCTGGGCCGCCAA